GCTAAATTCGATCCGTTAATGTAATTACGTACACTGGTTAGTCCGCGATGAGAAAAAAAAAAAAAAAAAAAAAAAAAAGAAGTTAATAAGTTCTAATTACGATCGATCGTCTTGTTTTATGGCATCTAGATTACAAAACATGTAACATTTTAATTGTTAGATTACTTTCTTCTTAACATTTAAATGACGGGGATATCATATCGACAAAAAAGCATTTAAAAAATTCAAGTATATATCCGTATCAAATGTAAAAAGTTTTCGGAAGTTCACCGAGAAAATTAGATAAAAGATAATTACGAAGTTACAAGTTGTAAAAGTACAAGATTGGTGTTATAGAAACTAATTGCCAGTTGTATAAAATGGATCGTGACTCATCACATCTTAAACTCATCAGTCGTATAGAATATCACAGGAACGTTAGTAGGTGCCATTGGATTTACGTATATGAAACATGTAGCACATTGTTCGTGCGTGTATTAAGTAAATGTAAAGAATGAGAGAGAGAGAGAGAGAGAGAGAGAGAGAGAGAGAGAGAGAGAGAGAGAGAAATTTATGGTCGTTCTGTTTCAACTCAAAATTCGATGTCAATGTATGTATCTTCTGTTGCTAAGGCAATACTTTGCGTACGTTATATATTTAAGAAGCTTCTTCAATGTACTTTTGTGAATCGTCAAACACAACGAATACGCAATGAATAAAAGCACAATGAAAAACGAAGAATAAGAAAATGCCCTTGACAATTATCTTACTTGGTATCATTCCAAATTTTATTTCATGTATCAAAATCGTAAAAAAGTTCTTGTTTCGAAAACTTTGACTTTCAAGCAAAATAGTTCTTTTTTTTTATTGTGCTTTGCAAGTTTTCTTCCTTTGTTTCAATTGAAATAGGCTTGTGCTGCTACAATTGACGTCTGTATAGATTTTAAAATCGAGATGTAGAAAATTTCTAATTTTCTTCTATTGGATTGAAGATATCTCCTTCAAGGTGTTTCTGATAAACGAATTTATTTCAAAGTCATCTGTCAAATGCAGCACAATCATATTCACAATACATCATACTTCACTGCTATGGCAATAGCACAATTTACAAAGATCTACGCTAGCTGATTCGAGTACTATTACTTAACACAGATATTTCATTCGGATATTAGGGCGAATTTATCATAAATGGCATCTTTAACGTGTAAGGTGACATACACTGTTGGTCGATCACCTTTCTCTGGACATAGGAGAGTATTTAATATATATCCTACGTGAATTACATATTATCTATAAAAAAGACCGCCGTCTCCTCTTTTTCATACATGTACTACCTAATCATACCAACAAACGTCACGCATACGTTTTTATAGGGCACGGTGTATCATTATTCGCGTTACATGTTTCTAGCCAATTACATAGGGCCATTCCTCGAAATGAATTAAAGTTAATATCAGATCAATAACCAATTTAATTCCAATCGAATCGCATCTATTTTGATTTAAATAAAGAACTAACGTATCAATACACAGCCTCATGCAATTAATAATAATACGCTTCACTGTCATGATATATTTTTGAGAGAAAATGGCAAACTGAGGCTCTGCCATTATAACTTGAACTTATTATTTGAGGTATCTCCGTATTATAATAACAGCACAAATGCATTTTTAACATGCGTGCTTTACAAAATAAGAAGTTAAAGAATTGCAATACATTTGCTAATCGGCCGAAACATTTCCTTCCTCTCATTGGACTGTATCAGAGTCTTTGTTATGATAAAAATAAAAAATTGTATACATTAATTTACAACAATATTTTTAATGCTTCTAATTCATACACTGGCTGTAAAAATGTCGATGCTTTCCTTTTTTACACATGAGATGAAAATATGTAATAAGAACAGTATGTATAATTAACTACAAAATTGTCACCCAATTTTGTAATTATATGTCATATCAAATATTAACTATGGTTACGCTATTACTGTCCTAAATTACGCATTTTCGCGTGTACGTAAAATGTGTTTCGGTTTTATGCGATAAACGTTAAAAACAATTGTTAAGTCTGCGCAAAACTTATTAAATAATAAAATAAAACGCAATTAATTATTATATGTATCGCAGATCTTATAAATATCCTATAAATAAGTGATATAATATATATATAATATATATAATATATATATATATATATATATGAACATTACTTATTCTCTCACTGATAGTAAAGTAATACAAATTAAAAGATATACATTCATTATAGGTGAGGCGCTGTGTCCGTAAAATTTACATTAAAAAATACCAAAAGTCCGTGAAATTATATCTTTACATGCGTATTGTGCGTGTCGATTTGACTTTTTAAAAAAATGTTTTCTATATTGAATAATTTCTCAATTAAAAATCACTCGAGACTACAACTACTATACAAAATGTTTAAGAATTTCCACCGTTTGTCTTTTTGTAGTGACAGATACAAAAGAAAAACTGTATAAAAATCTATGTAAATTATGAATTGTGTATGAATTGTCAACAAAAATATCAGATCCTCATGAAATTATAATGCAATTTATGAAAATGTAATATTCAGACACGTGTAAAAAGTGCCACCATTTATCATGTTTATTTATCAGTACCAATCACTGATAAATAAACATGAAAGTAATATGTACAAAGGACAGAATTGTTGTCTAATAAAATTATTTGTAGTACATTGGCCACATACAATATTCATCGGAAAAAAACAAGTATCATTAATAATTTACGTTATGTAAAAAATAAAACATGGTGGAAATTCATAGACACTTTGCTCCTTTGTAAATACTCTGCACAATAAGTCCGTCACGGAAAAAAAGAAAAATACGTCACACCGTTTGTTAATTCAATAAAGCAACAGTAGCGGTAATAGCGACTGTAATTACAGATTCCTATGAATTACAACATAATCGAAGCGCAGCGAACTAGCAACTAATTGATTCTCAGTTAGTGAGTCGGTTATACACACATGTACATTGAATAGGGACGTGCATTACGCAAGCACGTGAATGGAATGAAACTGACACGAAAGAAAGGAAAGAAAAATAAATCTTGCTGATCGATGCGATATAAATCAATAATTTAATGTGATTGTCCCCTGCCATAAGTGAATGGCTTAGCAGCGCACGTGCCGGAGTTAAAAACTTGACTAGAAAAGAACGAGCGTGCGAAGATAGTAATTTCATGATTTTCTTACTTCAAAGGTTCCATTTCTTTTTCCCTTTATTCATAGTAATCTCATCGACCTGTTTTTATTTTCAGTATTATTCACTATGAGATAGAACACTAACAGCTATAAGTAGTTCCTGTCATTAATACAAAAATTCTATCATATTTCAATGTAATATCGTTGCAACGGTTTTATTTTTCAATTAGTAAGTCGGGAGCAACCTCGTAGGTTTCGTCATTGTTTTTAGTTCATTCGAGTAATTTAATTAATAAATTTTCATCCGATGCGCAAGAACTACCTATGCTTTTAATATTCTCAAGTGAAAACCTAACTCCTATTGTGCCGCGTAAGCCCTCCAATTATGCGTAACACTTCGTCGGTGACTTACAAAGCACATTCGCGGACATGCCACACATACAGATATATCCCTAATCGTCTCGTATATGAAAAAGTAAAAAAATGATTCTTCTCCCCGTGTTTTCACAATTCACGGCAGTTTTACATGCTGTGCTGTTCTTTGCGCATTTCGAACTGAATAAAAAGATCAGTCTTTCTTTTAGAAGAAAAATTAGCGCAAGCGGGTATACACACGCTTTATATCGTATGTTACAAATAAACTTACACACATTGCGTGCGTAGTATCATTAATAATTCGTAAATTGTAAGGTAGATCATATTAGTGTTTGATCTTTCCTTGCCATTGCTAGAATAACAACGCATGCCAACAAAAAACGTTTGGAAGAATACAACCCAGTTCTTAATTCAGCTCTAAACCATATAAGCTATACCATCTACATTTGATCGCGTATGAAAAAGAATAAAAAATATAAAATATTTATACATACAAATGTATAAATATTTTTAAAAATTCTTTATTTTGAATTATAATTTGCATTGAAATGTAAATTATATTGTGCTTGAACATATTATAAGTATTACACAATTAAAACACGATCAATTATCAGAGATTGATAAATTATATGGTTCACCTTTCAGGATATTCGTACGTCTTATAAATACGCTTAATTCTTTCACTAGTCCACCAAATAGTTGTATTTGTTAATAAAAAACGCACTTACTTTGTTGCGTTAATGCTTTTCTCGTATGTTCCATTTCCAATCACAAAAATGTTTAATACACTATTCCGAGTTTCTCTTTTCCGATTTCATCGATAAAAATAAATTATTGAGATAGGTCCACAACGTTGTCAAGAGCGTGATATCACGAGCGTCTTTACTGTACTGCATCTTGTACGATTAGTACAACGATTAATTAACAACTGCTTAATTTTATTGAATTTTATGAATCGTATCAAACCAATTGTGTGTATTTAGTTTAATCCTGTGAGTTTGTTTTAATGTAAAATGTCTTCTACTTATTTCTTGTGGTACGAATAAATGTTTAATAACATAATTCGATAGTCTGTGCATAAAATTCTCCAAACTCTCCAAGATCGATAGTTACTTATGCACATGTATATCTCAGTCTAACTTCATGATGTACTTCTTTCACCAATATATTAATAATTTCTTTGGTTCGCCCAGTTTCTTTGAGCATTCATACATTTTCAAACACTTTTTGTATGTGAATTGTCTTTGCGCACACATTTACCAAACATTATCGAGACGTTCCAATGTTCAGTAGTATTAAGAAGCTGGTTCATCGTCGGCCAAATTATGAAGATCTGAATAGTTTACGATGGCACGATGCAGAAATTCGTATTGTGCCTAAAAATATTAATTTATGCATTAATATAAAATATTATTCATAATCGAAAGCAATTGTTTAATGTTAAATATAAATTACGCACAAAAGTGCTAATCATGCCGTGTCTTTGTGATCGTAATTTCTTTGTTGTTGTGAATATATCTACGCGTTTTTCAGTTCTTAGTTGTTGAACCAATATACTAAGAGCGACAAACATAGAACTCCTATCAGATCCGTAACTGCAGTGTACAACTAGCGAACCACTTGATTCTGTATCATTTGTAAGCGTTTGGTTTACGAGTTCAATGAGACCACGAGTTACTTCAGGTACTTCTCCCTCTACTGTTGGCCATCCATGATATTGATATTGTGTTACAACAACACTTTCGTCGGTTTTAGTGTTGGAAACACAGAACTCACGACGCGTGTAATATGGACAGCTCTCGCTTTGTATATATCTAACTCTTATATGGTCATATGTTGCTTCGTCATCAGGCCAATAGCGTGGACATTTTCGTGGACCTTCATTTAACTGAAATAAATTGTTATACTACAATTTTTGTAATACTTTGTAGAAGAGATACATCTGATATACAGACTTATGTACAATCGGAGGCACAGTAATATCTTTCGTCCGACTGTACTTTCAGTATATGCATAAAATGTAAGTTGCGTACTACGTATAACATTTACGCAACGAATTTGGAATCTTTAAGACTTTACAAAAGCTTAGAATTGAAAACAAAAAGAAGGGGTACTCACATCGGACAACATAACTATCGTGGAAATACATTGTTCTGAAATCATGCGCCAGAAGTCTGCAATTGTAGTGTCTAGTGGATCTTGAGTGATAACGAACGATTCAGAATTGTCATAGCCTTCGATAAATGATGCATTTATATAAGTCGAATGTTCTCTACCCGGAACAGGTGTAAGAATTACTCGATTTCTGTCGTATGGTATTATTAATTCGCTTCTATTCTTGCTTTTGTTTTCTTCTCCTCCTCCAACGGAAAATGATTTTCTATCTTCTAATACAGAGTTGATCTTCTGCAAGTAATAAAAGCGAAATAGATTTTTATTAATCAATATAGTTCTATTATATAAATGAATTAAATAAATATTAATTCGGTAAAATTTCCTACTCACATCGTACTCCTCCTCCATTCTACATTTTTCTTTACCATTATCTCTTTGTCTTAATCTTGCGATTGTAGTTTTAAGCTGAGATGCTGGAATTTCCGTATCCCCGTATTGTGCCATTTCCATTAATGCGCGATAAATGAAAATATACTGTTTTAACGATTGCACTAAGAAGTTTCTTTGATGTCTTAAATCACATACTGTATTGAAAATCGAAACCTGACCCTCTTCTGCAAGTTGTTGCAACAAAGAATCTAACGCGACTAATGTTCCTGTTCGTCCGACACCTGCACTACAATGTACCAATATCGGCCCCTTTTCCAATGAATATGCCTCGTTCACTCTTTTAATGAACCTCAGTATTGCGTGAGGATGTTCTGGTGCCATAAAGTCTTTCCAAACTAAGAAATGATACTGAACAATGGTGCGCGCATCTCGTTCTCCTAATCGTGTCATTTTTAATTCACGAACAACGTAGTCTGAGTAAGCTCTTTCTCGAACATGTTCAACGGTAATGTCGCCGAAATTTTTAGTTTCACCTTTATCTGGCCAGTATTTTGCGCATTTCGTTTTTGAGTATTCTTCAAGATTCGTCAACATAAGTATCAACTCAAGGTGTTGTTCCCAAATCATTCTCCAATAATCGCAAACAGTATTTTCCATTGGACCTTGAGCGCATATGAACTTCTTACGTTCTTTATATCCCAACACAAAGTTCGCATTTATGTAATCAGATCCACAAATTCCATCCATCTGTGCGAGTCTCACTCTAGTTTGATCGTAACACTTTATATCCGGATAACGATTTTTGTATAAATTTTCACGTGCCTCCGAAGCTCTTGTTGTACGATCTGTGAATCTGTCCGGTAGCAGTTCGAATTCGTGTTGAAAGCCATAATCAGAATCTCGATGTCGTTCTAGATATGCCTGGAGTAGTTCACTTTTAGGAATGGGTGGCATATCTGGAGGACTTGCGGCTACCAGTTGATGTCTTCCCCTAAGACTCCTACATAAATGCCTATTAATATAAAAATATTTATTAAACCCCAAATACATTCTTTTTGTGAAAGTACATTATGACGATAATTATAGAATATTCCTTTACCTGAAACTGTTCCTCAAAGTTATAATTTCTTCCCCTCTTTGTTGAGCACGCTTTGTGTATCTGTGCAATACACAAAGAGCAATGAGAAGAATAATAATGATTAGTATAAGAGCAATGGAGATTTGCAGAATTACGCTGAGCGTGGTTACTTCCGCTGACACCACAGCCACGGGATCTAGTCCTCCATAAAGAGGATTAAAATAGTTACTATAAGCTGGTAAAAGTTGATCTTGATTTCCAAATACTATAAAAAAAAAATTTATTACACAAAATATTTTAAATGTAGAATATATAAATTTATACATATATATTAAACATACCAATAACTTCGACGAAACCCGTGTAATTCGAATTTTCGTCTAAGAAACCATCTTGCACAGCAAATAGTGGTAGTTCAGAAGATCCATCATTACTCTTTGTTTTTTGAGTAGCTATATTTTCTCTTTTCCTTCTTTCTATAGTTTCTGTATGATTATTGTCTGTTAAAGTTGCAATAGTTGTTTCTATCTTCTGAGTAGTAGCAGCCGATGTTGTTGGAGCGGGAGTTGTAGTCCACGTTACTGACGTTGTAACAGTGGTAGATGTTGTATTAAATGCTGAAGTAGTTGTTGAAACTTCGGGAACAAAATGTAATACTGGTGGAGTAACTTTTGGCCGAAGTCCAATACATTTGTTGCACATGCTACTACTGTTGAATGATTCGCCATCGCCAAGAAAAATGTCTGATATCAATTGATCGCTATCGAATGTTTCGGCAACGTAAGCACCGCCAGAAGGTGAATTATGAGCGTATTGATAGGAATATACACTAATTTCCTCAGGTGGTGGTAAATCAGTGACACTTTTCTGTGGTGCTAGTTTTACTAAATAAACTCGATAACAACATATAGGACCATTTCGTTCTGTGATACGCGGAAGATACAACTGAAACAACTGTTTACCCTGATTCTCGATTTTTCGCCACGAACGCATGTTTAAGCTATCTCTGTCTGGTATGGTAATTGGCGTGGTACAATTACCAATAGCGTCCTTTCCTGGTGTACGGGATCTAGTTACACCGTTCACACGCACCGTATAATTCGTATTAGCTGGTATCTGATTAAAATGTGTGCTATTTTTTTTAACACTCCAATTCTGTGGTCCCCAATTATCAATATCTAAACGGCCCACACCATTTTTAAATCTAGCAGTACCGGTTAATTGTATATTATAACGAGTAATAATGCCATTAGGCTTTTCTGGATGAATCCATGTAATAGAGATGAAACTGGAGCTACTTATATTATCGAATCGACAATTAACGGTTAAATTTTGAGGAGGGCTAGCCACTAGAATTAAAATTAGACAGTTAACTTTTAATTTCTAAAGTATAGAAAATACTGAGTTTGTGAATTCGATGATCTTACCACCGTCTAAAGTAGTACCATTCACTTCAGTGCTCCAGTTTCCACATTCCTTTGTGTATTCGCTACATGCGGCAATTTTAAACTTGTACGTTGTAGCAGGATCGAGATCAACAAACGCGTACACAGTAAATGGCTGCGCTGGGTATACCGCTTCTCTTTTCTGATCTCCATGTGTAACCATTAAATTATAATAATGAACGTGTTCTTTCAAATCCAATGGCGGCACTGTCCATCCTATTGTAATAGAATTTTCAGTGACTCCGTTAACAGAAACTTTTGGCACAAATATAGGATCTGCAAAATATCCATTACTTAGTGATTCCGGAAGAAGAGATGTAAAAATTATACTTTATCTTAATACCTTTTTCAAGTGTAGTAATCCAACGTGGATCAAATCGTACATGTGATGTACCTACGGTATTTGTAGCACTAATTCCAATTTGATACGCTGTACCACTTTCAAAGCCTTTCAAAACATAACTCGAATTACCGCCTCCAATTTGTTCGGAGTAATATTGATATTGGTTAGTTCCGTTTTTCATATGTTGAATAAAATATTTTTTAATCGGCTCGTTGCCGTCATTCACAGTCCAGTTCAAAAATATACTTCCGGCACCAACGGCTTTCATAAAATCAATGCTCACTTTTGGTACATCAATCACGAAGAGATGTCTATAATCACTAATTTCGCCGCTATAGTCGCGTGCTTTGCAAATATACGTTCCATTATCTTTACGTGTTAAACTTGCAAATTCTAAAGTCAGTACAGTGAGAGTTTCATTTATTTGCGTGACTGTGGTAAAATCCTTCCAATGGTCAGTACTTTCTGAATCATTCCCTTTTAACCAAGTAAATTGAGATAATGGATAACCATGCATGAGACATGTCAAGTTAGCTGATTCCATTACTTTTGCCCTAATGTCTTCCCCAGTTGCTATTCTACCTGGCTCTAAAATACAAATAATTTGTAATTAAAAATATGAACACACAAACACAGGTCTCGTAAGTTATAGTTAATTGATAATTAACATTTACCAATAACTCTAATATGAACATCCTTCTTTAACAATTCTTCATCTGCAGTTTGTGCCATACATGTATAATCTCCTGTATCATTTCTACTAGCCTGTTTAATATCCAAACGTCCTCCAGAGTCAAAATCTTTAATAGTGGTGAGATTTTTTCCATTGCTGGTCCACCATATTTGACCGGGTACATTGAGTTTACATATAAGCGATGGTGTACTACCAGCCTCAATACCTTCCAAATCTTGGGATGCTGTAATTTCTAACACTGCTGGATTCTCATTTTTTGACTCAGTGGTTTCTACTTTTTCAACAGCTGCACAAGAACATGTAAAAATATAAATATGTTTCTATTGTGAATTTATATATTAATGTAATATCCTATAAATAATTAAACACGATATTTTTGACAGTCTAAGCATAACAATAATAAACAAAAGTAAATTATCGACAAGCTGACTAATATCATTTGCTCATATTATTTGCCATATTATTATTTGCTCATATTATTTGCCATTGTGTCTGATTAAAAAAAACTTCTAGCCAAATAGTATATGAACGTACCAAGTACTTGGCTTGTTAATTCATTAAAATCATAACAGCGGAATCATATAAATTGGCCAAGTTTTGTCTTAACAACTCAAATTGCCAAAGATATTTTAAGTACATTTAAGTAAAACTTTGTTACAATGTTTTACAAGCCTTAAGGTTAAATAATAAAAATAGAAAATTTAAATATAAAATTTTAAGGAAACAAGAATAAATTATTAATTGACCACAATTTCTTCATTCATATTCTGCAGAGAATTGTTTGATAGACGATTATAATTATTTTATTTTACAAATCATGTAATAATAACTATAATTATGTAAACTACGTTTTTATAATCCGAAAACAACATGATTTTTAAATAATATCATATTACTGTGTTTTTATTTTTTCTTATGTACAAGTGTATGTACATATGTATCGAGTAAATTCTTCGTTTAATGAGTTCAACAGTTATTATCGCGATGGCACTAGTGACTCAATAGGCAGTGATGCTTTTTCACGTTGAATATCTTTAAATTATATGTGATATTATGCGACTAGATTATGCAACAAAATATAATCGTTAAATTAAGAAACAATATTATTTAAAAAATAAAAAATGAAATAAAATTTTCTTAATTGTAATTCTTAATAGATAATTATTCTGGCGATCATATGCAAAACAATATTTTATGCGGTTTTTGATATAGATCTTTTTTTCGATTCCTATGAAGTTATTTTCTGCGAAAAATGCAATTTAATTTTGTACTCGATAAAACAAATATATGAAGTAAAGGCGGATGTTTTTCCTTTACATAAACTCACAGATTATTTAGATATTTAATATATCGATTCGAAATAGATCGAGAATTAGGAAATAATTTTGCGTAAAGCATATTTTAACACGATGAAACAATTAACAGTTTGCTGAAATAATTAATACTTTTTTATTATTTAAATATGCAAATTATGAGATTATTTTACAATTAATATTATTAACTATTAAAATGCATAAATCAAAATATAAAAAATATAAAAACATAAAATTTGTATTAAATATTTTACAAAGAATTATTCAAATCCGAGAAAATGGACAGTAACGAATTTATAAAGTTAATCTAAAAAATTGGTCGTTTTATTTATTCTGATAATTCCAGTATTAATGATTATATTTACTTTTTATTATTGACTTGAGTTCCGCGTTATTGATATATTTTTATTTACTCCAATGGTATGTATAGAACGTACAAGATGGTTAAATGAAATTGGAATCGATCGAGCGACAAGGTACGCTAATTAGACTGTAAACAAATTTCAATTGCGATACAAACATTTTGTCCGGTTATAAATAAATATCTTACGTTTCTTAATTATAATTTAGAAAAAATGGAGTTTAGATAAAAGAGAGTGTAAATAAATGATATACTTTCATTGATAAATTAATATTTTCTAACACAAAAATTCAAACACGTTAAATTTTAAGTTTCGGGATATACATATGTATGTAGTGAATTAATTTCAGAGAATTTTTTTGGGTAATCACAGTATAACATGAAAATTGAATCTTTCAGCATGCAACACGAATCGCATAACAAACAGAGAGCCAAGGGTGTACTGAACGATAAATAATTGTAACGATCAAGACACTCGATATCTTTTTATGTTATTAATCAATCGTGCATGACGGTATGCAATTTTATGCACGCCTGTACAGCCAACTCTCCATTTATCGTGGACAATTAAAATCGTTGCCATGATACTTATTCCAGGTAGAGATATTAAGAATTGTTCGTTGCAGGACACAACAATCGTGAGGATGGTGATGACAGCGATGCATCGTGCATCCGCCAAGTACATTGCTTATAAATGTTCATTGTATCCGCTCCGTCGACGGCTGACAAGAATAGCGGAAGAACCGGTCGTCGTGTCGGAATCGATCACGCGCCAGTTTGCAAAATAAATTTCCATATACTCACCGGATTCGTCAAGGCCGGCAACAATAACTACGAGAAAGCAGAGTACCATTAAAGAGATACTCGACATCGGTAGACCACTTCGGGGAAACATGGCGTCGTGACAACCGGGCGTGAGCGTTGTATCCCTGGCCCTTTTCCCACTTCCTGCCACCTTCTTGCTACGTTCTCGACTCCTTTCACAATCCCATGACGCGCAGCTAATATCGCCTGTCCATTTGAATTCACGATTCAATTCACTATTTCATATCACGCTTCGCACTTACGTGCGACGCACTTCTTTCCGAGAGAGATATGCTCAGGCACACTTTGCAAATCTCACCCCGTAATAGCGCTAGCGAAACTGAATCACATTATATTGAGTCTGTAACGTAGGTGTCACGACGAACGCTACGCCGCCAAACACAACACTGCCCTCCGTTGGAACTTTTTTCTACCGTTCTGAACTAGCACGCCGATAACGCAGTTGATTCATCCGAAAGCGGGAAAATGTACGTGTCCATTATTTGTTGTTCTACTTTTCTTTCACAGTGGCCACCACTGAAACGTAATTCTGGATTATTAATCGCAAAAGCAAGGATTAAGTTTCCTGCACATTATTCAAAAGTTAAAATTTTGCAATGTTAGTAAGATACATATACACATATAAACGCGAGTGTACGAATAATTAATTAGCATTTTTTTACATTAAGTGTTTCAAATATTTATATGTACGTGAAAGTGATATATTCTGGTATTTAAAAGTTTAATTCTGATGTGTATAATGTACAGAGGAGAGAAAGACTGGAAATATTGATAATTTTCTGTTTAAATTAATTGCGGTGTAAAACTGACTCCAGGAAAACAGTTTATATCTTCCAGAATATTGGTGATAATAAAATTTTTTTGGGAAAGCTAAAACATCTTATAAAATGCTATATAATTTGTTTTTCTACATGCAAATACTCAATAAAATTGCATGTGCATGTTCAGTTTTGTTCATTACTGTACATGTAATCTTAAAGTAAATTTATTGAATTCAATTTGTTTTATATACTGCAAAAAATAAATTAAATAAATATACTTTATTATCGGTGAAGTATGAATCATTATTTCTATATCGTGTCCTCTAGGGGGCTCCTGCTATGTCTAACTGGCATTAGCATAGACATAGTCTCACCTTTGTAAAATGTTCTTTAATCTCCTTAATTTTCGTATCTTTCTTCTTTGATTCGTGTAAATTTCGGTACAGTGACAAGTAGTATGGCCGAGTTGATTTTAGATCCAAACATTAGAGGATGGGTGTTTTTACCTATCGTTGTGATTACGTTCCTTGTAGGCATTATTCGGCATTATGTTTCGATATTACTTGCCTCGCAGAAAAAGGTTGAGCTTCACCAAGTACAAGACAGGTGATTGCGTGGATTTAAAAATTGTATATTTACAAATTGTGTATTTTTAACCTATGGAAATATTTTACAACTTTATATCTTGATGCTTTCTAGTCAAGTGATGATACGTTCTAGACTGCTTAGAGAAAATGGTCAATATATTCCAAAAATGGCATTTATTAGTAGAAGACATTTTTTTAACAATGAAGAAACGGGATATTTTAAAACGCAAAAGCGTGCTCCTGTATCGCAAAATCCGATGACAGATCCTAATATGATGACAGATATGTTAAAGGGAAATGTAACTAATGTTTTACCAATGGTACTGATAGGTGGTTGGATTAACTGGATGTTTTCTGGCTTTGTTACCAGTAAGTTCGAAGGATTATATCATGTGGACTCTACATTATGTTTCGTTTTTAAATTACTATTAATAATTTTATTTTAGCTAAAGTACCATTTCCTTTGACATTACGTTTCAAACCAATGTTGCAACGTGGTATAGAATTAGCTACACTTGATGCTGCATGGGTTTCATCTGCATCTTGGTATTTCCTTAATGTATTTGGATTACGTTCCATTTATACACTTGTTCTTGGAGAAAGCAATGCTGCTGATACCTCCAGACTTCTACAAGATCAAGTGTCTGGTGCTGCAATGTCTATGCCACCAGATCCAAAAGCTGCTTTCAAATCTGAATGGGAAGCATTGGAAATATATGAACATAATTGGGCACTGCAGGGAGTTGAAGCAGATCTTATAGGATCTCAAAGATCAGAAATAAGTGAAAATCAATATACGTGAATATGAACAATGATAAATTTTATTACTTTGTAATTTTAATAATATTTTGTATCTTATAGGTAGCAAATAATAAATATTACATCTACATCTATAGATATAGCATGTGCCATTTTGGAAAGATGATTGAAGTTCCAAGAAGTTGTTAAATAAATTAATAGTTCGAATTATCACACTAAATAATGTATTATTTATTATATTATTTATGATATTCTTCAAAATATTTTACAATAGAATATGTGTATTATAGTTTTTTGATAGTTTGTCATATTTTTAATTTCATGTGTACAAAAAGTTGTTCAAACTTATAATTATAGCAATATATTCTCACCTACTTTATATTTTTAAGGTACAAATATTTATAAATTATTGAATAGTGTGTACAATAAAATTTATTATAATAAATATTTGTTTTATATGTATACATATATGTCTGTCCTTGTTGCACGTTGTTGCTCTCCTTGTCTACCGCGCCTATATGTCTGTCCTTGTCGCACGCTAGTGGCCTCCTTGTCTAATGATGCTAGACAAGGAAAGCAACAGTGAGTTACCGCTAAATGGCGCCACCGTGTCCATTTTGTGACAATTCGCACTAATTACGAAAAAAACCTAATTAAGAGGAGCAATTTACGAACTTTTTTATATGCCTCCCTAGAATTAGGCTCCCCGCTTTCTTTCTATGTGTGTTTTGTCCTGGAAAAACGTGTGTGTAAAAAGTTGAATTTTTTTTCCAATAGATCGAAGGTTGTCCTTCTCGCACACTGTTGCTTTCCTTGTCTAGCGTCATTAGACGCTACAGGGACAGACATATAGGCGCGGTAGACAAGGTGAGCAACAGCGTGCGAGAAAGACAGACATATAGCCGCGGTAGATAAGGAAAGCAATAGCGTGCGACAAGGACAGACATATATAGGTACCTGAAACGCGACGCACGATTTTTCACCTACTTACAGCCATCTGACAAAAGAAAGTTTAGAACAAAAGTTGAACGGTACGGGGTGTACAGTAGGTGTCAATAAAAAAAATTTCGAAAACTGTTTGTTTTCATAGCTAAATCAAGGTCACTTTGAATTAAACAAATAGGAACACATAAATTTTTTTCCATCGTATTATAGAGAACATCGAGACGAATTCAAAATACATATTACATGATATTTTTATTAACATTTTACTTCATTTACAGTAGTGGAAATGTGAAATATCTATATATAAATATCCATATAAATGTCTTTTTACATTTGTTATTTTACTTAAATACTAGATACAATCATTTGATTATATAAAAAAAATAATTAAGGTTTAATACAATTACATATACAATTGCATATATACATTATTATTTAAATTACAAGGGTTTTACTTTAGGATATAAATCTGTTCGACGATGATTTTCACACGGCATATTTTGCCGAACTTGTTTTAATAAATCTAAATCAATTTCTGCTAAAATCATGTCAGGTTTTTCACTACATTGTGCTATTATGGTTCCCCATGGATCAATAACCTGATAAAATTTCATGCATATGAAATTACATTTGATATAACAAAAACATAATTATAAAATTATTTACCATTGCATGACCCCAGCTCACTCTCTTTTTGTTGTGTGTACCAGTTTGAGCTGCCGCTATGACATAACATTGTGTTTCTATAGCTCTTGCTCGCAATAATACTTCCCAATGTGCAGCACCTGTTTGGTACGTAAATGCTGATGGATATGTGAGAATTTCTGCTCCCATATTTCTTAGTGAAAGAGATAACTCAGGAAAACGCATATCGTAGCACTATTATTATTGTTAAGTAAAAATAATTTTTTATGCCTGAAGAATATAAAATTTGTATAAAGGATACAATACTGAGTCCTAACTTGCCAATTGGTGTTGTTATAGGTGGTTCAATCTTTTGCCCTGCTAAAACATAATCTGATTCCATCAATCTCACACCAGTAGTTTTATTATCCATATCGAATAAATGCATTTTACGATAACTACTGGCTATTTCCCCTTCACTATTTATTACAATGTGTGTGTTACTTATATGGTTTTCATTGTTATCTAACTATGCGTAATTAAAAAAATATTAATAAGACGAATAATAATGTTTTATTTTGAAAAGTAAAAAGAAATTTAAACTAACTGCTTCGTGTAATCCACCTAATGATAACCAAATCTTATTTGCTTTAGCAATTTCTTTGTAGCTTGATACTATTGAACCATTCAAAGGTTGAGCCATGGCTATTGTATCTTTCTTATTATCTGTTAAATAATCACATGCTTCAGGAAAAAATGCGATCTATCAAAATATTTTAAAAATTTATACAAATAGAAATAGTATTAAAAAATTAATTTAAATTTTTATTATATATATGTACTTACACAAGCTGCCCTAGACTTTGCCTTTTCAACAAGTTCACGTACAGTTTGTAAATTCTTTTCTTTATCATTTGTTGATGTCATTTGACACACTGCAACTAATGGATTTGCCATAATGCTAAAACGTCTTGCAAATTGTTTCCTATAGGTTATAAGAAATTAATGACAAAGAGGTACTTCGTTTTTTATATTTACATCAAAATAAAATTTTTTTATGGATCAGAGTTAAACCATATTTAACTCTGTCTAACAACGTATTTGATAGACACCTCTTTCCTTATAATTATTACCTGTGATATTTAACAAGAGAGAAATTGCTCAAAAAATGCATCCTTATCGTTTATTTACATTATCGGTAGAGACATTTGATAATGCAGAAATTTCAATGATGAAATATGGCAGGATTACAATACAACATAATACATATATTAATAGGTTATAAGTTGTATATCTTAAAATGACAGTCTGTTTAAAAGAGAAATATATGTTCATGTATAAATTACATAAACATATTTCTGAATTTATAAGTTATCAAAATTTTATAGGTTAGTGAAAAGCTAAAATTGAACGAACGCGCAATCACGTGACATCTAGCGTAGACATTTTGAATTCAAATTTTAATCAATTTGAATTTGTGCGCGCGCAATCACGTGACATCTATTGTAGACATTTTGAATTTGTTTCAATCAGTTTGAATTTGTGCGCGCGCAATCACGTGACGTTCAACGACATTTGAAACGTAGACATTTTGAATTCAAGTTTCAACCAGTTTGAATTTTGCAATCATCGGGTAACGTTCAATTCGGAATCGCGTAGTTTCATTTCTAAAGAAAATAAACTTGTCAGCGTTTGATATTCGTATTTCGTGTTAGAACGATGTGTAATAGTAACACTAATAGTTTGTTCTTTGTTTGAATTTATTTTGAGGTGATATAATTAACAAAAAAGTCAATAATGGAAATATTCTTTCGTGACTGTAATAAAAATTGTGTTTAGAATCAGTGAATTGTGGAACGTGTAGCAGCAATCGTAAACAGCAGCTTCTTCTATCGGTATGTCAATATTAATTTTATATATAATTTTTATATAATAAATTTATGATATTAATGAAAATCTTCATTCTTTGGAAGAGTATTAATTTCAATTTAATTGAAATAATATGGCATATTCAATATTATTCTGAGAATCCTCAGAAATTTGATTAAACTAATTTCATAATTATAAATTGAAAGGTATTATTCAATCTTTATTACGACTAACGATGAACATTCCCTCTATGAAAGTAGATTTCGATTCCCTTTATGAAAGTAGAATCGATGGGAATGCACTTGTTAGGCAAAGAATACTGTTATTGGTGAATATAACTCTATAAATAATAGAAAAAAAAAAAAAAACGAAAGAAGGAAACACTTTACTTTTCTTTATTCTATTTTATTAAATTGTCATAGTATATAATACACAAGTGAGACATTCATTTATTAAATTCACTTATCAAGCAGAAATAATGTTCTCATTCGTGGAGTTACGTTTACTGTTCTTGTTAAAAAGTCAATAACAAAAGGACAGTATATGTTTCTACGGAAAAATCACAACATACTAGTATATCCTGTTCGAAGGACAATCAATAAATACTACTGTTCTATTTGTAAATGCATTTGTATCGTTGCATGGAACAGATACTCATGAAACTCATGATGGGCGAGGCAGGGGGTCGGGGGGTTGAAGGTTAGGACAGTTTGAGAAAACCTAGTATCCGAGAAACACAGTGAATATCACGCGCTCGGATAGCTTTTTTGTTCGACGAGAAAAAATAATATCTAAAGTATCTATAGTAAAGAGGGAAAGTTTCTGAAAGTTAGGATGAAGAGAAGGGAGAGAGAAGGGAGAGAGAAACGAGCGTAAAGGAGAGTAAAGGATTGCGATGCTGCAGGATCAAATAATGTCGTATTAATATTGTTTCTTCCTCTTTCTTTCTTTCCTTCTTTCTCTCTCTTTTTCTTTTCTTTTTTTGTTCGTTTTTCTCGTTCTCTTTTCTGCTGTCTTGTAAGCTGCGTTAATACAATCGTTGAAATCGACACACATACTTTCGGGACACACACACAATTCTTATTTGCCTTTAGTGGCTCGTATCGCCTTGCAAATTTCAATCCACGGGTGTCCGTAGGAACTGCAAATGTCACAGACGTTCGACGAGCTTGATGATGGTTGACTAGGTTGGTGGCCGGGTGTACTCGGTGAGGATGACCCCTCTTTCTTTAATTTACACGTGGATGACGAGAGATGTAGAAAATCGACCGAGGGTGGTAGAGAGGCGGGTGCACGTGTTTTACGTGACGACGGTAATGTTGCTGAATTGTACGATGACGACGAGTTAGACGAAGGTAGTATCGAGGGCGATCGTTCGAGCGATGGAGATTTTGCCGCCTGTATTGACCGGCTTGAAGGCGACGATAGGCGCATACACCGCAGAAGGTTGAGTCAATCATTGAGCAAGCCTTGAGACACGCTGATTAGCTGTTCCTTCAGTACACGGAAAGATGGTCGTACTTCTGGGCAATGAGCCCAGCATTTTCGCATTACCTAAACGATGAATAGTCGATTGATTATACACATAGAGAGTCCTGTTGTTGAAGTTGTATCTATCCGAAAAATTATTTGAAAATAATTTCATCAGTTAAAATGTAACTATGGCAAACCTCGTAGACTTCTTTGAAGCAGGCCTTGGGTCTTTCCAATATGATTCCTCGTTGCACTCTTTCCACGACTTCGGTGTTTTTTAGGCGACCATAAGGCATCTTTCCGCATGTGAATACCTCCCACATAAGTACTCCGTAGGCCCAAACGTCTGATTTTGAGCTGAAGCGGGTGTAGTTCAGCACTTCTGGAGGTGCCCATTTGATTGGGAATTTAGTGCCCCCGCTACTAGTATATTGATCATCCAGTACATACCTAGAAACAAAATTGAAAGATTTCCAAATAGTAACCGTCAATAAACGTGAACTGCAAGCAGAAATGATTTCACCTTGCCAATCCAAAATCTGCAACCTTCACTACATTTTCTGAGCCCACTAAACAATTGCGCGCAGCAAGATCTCTGTGAATGTAGTTATGCCTTTCCAAATAAGCCATGCCTTTGCATACCTGTGATTGAAAATATTTCAATTACCGCCACAATTATCATTAATTAAGAAATTAAGGAATGTCAATCAGAAATTTTGAACTTACTTGTATGCACATGTCTAGAAGAAGACCAACATTTGCTCCTAAAGTTGCTTCATGACGACGGAGGTAGTTGAGCAGAGATCCATGTCGCATGTATTCAGTGACAATGTATATTGGTCTGTCCTTACTGCAAACGCCATAGAGCTGGACTAAATTTTGATGCTGAAGTTTCCTACAAGCGACAATCCAACGATTATTCATTAGTTTTTCGTTATCGTTCGCTAAATTTATTTTGTCAGCACCATGACCACTGAAATATTCGTTAAACTATCGACTCACGTCATCACTTTAGCTTCTTCTATAAAATCATCTTCAGACATCGTGCCTTCCTTCATCATCTTTACTGCAACGTCTATAGAACCACGCCACTTTCCTCTTCGCACTACTCCAAACTGTCCGGAGCCAAGTTCTTCCAACAAGTGCAATTCCGCTGGATCAATCTCCCATTTATCTGTAAAGTGAAAAATTGTTACAGTATTCCGTAAAAAATCAAAGAGTCTCTTCTCTTTGAAAATTACTGGATCGCCGATATTTATGCAGATTCATAGTTTCATGAGCACGATATTGAGAGAAAATCCAAACAGAAGCTTATTTATTTCATCAGATTTATTTATTTCTACTTAAAATAATTTTCCATGTTTTTGCGTATTATACGTGTCTTCGCGTTTTTGATCTATAAAAATCCGCACTTTGCGCGTTACAAACCGTGACTGAGGCCAGCAGTTGGTGGTACAGGGCGGTCGCAAGGGCTGGTTTTTAATCTGCTGGCTAGTCCACCGCTATTGTGCCTGTGATAGTTAACCAAATCTGGTATCGAGCCGCAACAATGTTTCTCAGATAGATAAAACTCTCCTCTGGTGTTCTGTTTGATGTGATAGTGTTTTACGTGAGGATGTGGGCTGTAACAATATAAATACAGTAATATTAGTGTTTTTCTTTAACGTTGAAAGTATGAAATAATATTAGAACGTAGAAATGCTTACACTTTAGTGTAGAGAGAAAGCGTGTACAGTCCTTTGGTTGATGAATTACGTACGACGAAGCATCCTTCTTTATCCTCCTGTTTGAGCAATGATTCTGCGCGTTGTCTGGACATATCACCCACGTACCATCTGTAATTCCAATCGTTCCGTTTCAATTGTCATTGCGTATAATTTTCAAAGGGCATAAATTCTTGTCCAAGAATTCTCTAGACATACTTACTCGTATTTCTGAAGACCCAGGAGTTCCTTTTCCTTCACGTAATTGCTAGGAATGTAACCTATGGATCTGGAAAGAAAATTAGAAGTTAGAATTAACTGTTCTGTATTATTATCCGTCCGTACTACGTTATATACATTGTACAAGTGAAATTATTAACTCTAGTTTCATAAAACTGTCATTAAACAAACTGACATTGTGCTTAAGTTTCGACAAGATTTAATTAAGAATTTACTGTCTAATGAGCATCGTTTCATCATTCTTCCGTTTCGTTTCCATTCGTTTGGTGTTGAAATATATAATAATGAATAATTCTGTTGAGAATTTTGATCGTGAATTCCATATTAGGCCTAAAGAAGAAAAAAAAAAAGAAAAAACGAAGAGAGCAAAGATTTACTTCGTTGATCAATCTTAATTCACTTTTAGCTACGTTAAGTAGTTACTAGTATTGGAGTACTTGAGAAACTTAAGCCTTTAAAAGCACTCGACTGCCGAGCATGCAAATTGCTACGAAGATATGGGTATCAAGCGAAACGACGTTAATCCCGATTGCCGATTGCCGATTGCCATAAGATCTTCGCCGGAATCTAATTAATTCTCCATCGAAATCCTCGATTCACTCGATTCACTCGTGTGATTTGATTTGTGTTTAAATTAACGTCGAGTTACAGGCCTTCACAGAAATTCCACCAAAACTTTGATTATTCTTTTCTTCTTTTACCGAATACAATACATACCCATGCTCGTCTTTGACTTTCCACCAATGTTCCTGAGAATCATCTAGCACCTCGTACTCTGCACCCTGAAATACAAAGCAATTTATCACGAGCTTTTAACAATCTTGGTTAATCCAAAAAGTCTGTGATACGACGTAATCAAGTGATTCCAGTGGGAATTCAAAAGAAAAAAAAAAAAGATATTCCAAAACATCTCTAGTAAATCTTCCCAAAGTCGCGAAACATCTCCGCCCGGTTAATTCAACGTCTGATGAAGCGAGATGCACGGTACATGTTGAGTCCAAGTGCTAATGGGAGGGTGGTTTCTCTGCATATTAGAGGATAACCAACGTCCGTGGAATGCCAGCGATGCTGTTGCCTACGTCGACGATAATATGATCGACGCAGGACATTACACAGACCGTTATCCAACCGCAGGACCCAGCTGTGCGAAAGCCTGGTTATAACTCGGAAATCGCTGGTTTCGAACCTTTCCACAGTGCCATGTGTTTTGGATTAAAACGGTCGCACGATCGATCGGTGCACTACCTTTAGAAAGGAAATTTGCTGACGATGATCCTTGACCGAACTTTGCTTCTCCATTGGATACCTCTTGTAGCTGTATCTCTACCTAGTCGAAAAAGTTTGCAAGAGGGGTTTCAAAAGCACCCTTTCAGTTAAACAAATATCCCTTCGTTAATACGATAGGTGAAAAGCAATATCTCGACGAGTTTTTATGGAAAAAGTTTATTTTTCGAAAAAATTCTACAACACATCTGATTTTGTTTCTTCTTTCGTTAGATGCAAAAAAAGTTCTACGAGAAATAAGATGTTATCAGGTATAATACATTTCCTCGATAAAGGAAAAATTATAGGAAATATTTCACACAATAACGACCAGGTCTTTTATATTTTTCTAAAATTTAGAAAACTTTCTAGCAATTAAAAAATTATCTACGAGTAAAGTAATTACCTACTAGAAGTAACAGAGTTGATTACGTTTAGACTATCTAGAACGCGACTACCAAGACGGAATCAGCTTATTCCAGAACAAGGAAGCACTATCTGTATTTCCACCAAAAAATGATATACTACGAGACGAATTGCGAAAAAGTTCAAGACAGTTTATTTAACTGCTTCAAAACTTTCGGAACGATAGAGCAAAGTTCGAAGCCTACGGTATACCACGTAAATCAAATCGATTTATAGAATTCGATAAAACGAAGAAGTATTCCACGTGGTTGAAGTGTGGTTCGGCGCAGTGGTTTGATTCGAATCATGATTTATGTAGTTCAGATTTAACGTGATACTATTTAGTTTGCATCGCGATATACAGCGCAGATCCTCCTGCGATAACATTTACCTGAATTTCATTTCGATTCACTTCAATTTGACAGCGTACGAATTTCATTCTCTACCTGATTTGGCTCGATTTAACGATTCCAGTTAAACATATAGCGTAATACCGGTTCAGCGGTTTCCTTTTTTTTTTTTTTTTCTCCTGTTGTGTTTTTTTTCCCCGACGATACAATGTGGCTCCATTTGATTCAGTGCTCGAGTGCACGGCGGCACCGTTTAATTCGATTTGATTCGAAACAATGCAATTCCCTACCATAGACCGCGGTAATGTTCGGTTCAACGTTGAATCATAAACTATACTCGCCGTGTACCCGCTCTAACTGAATGCGATTTGGTACGATTCAAAGGCATAATTATTGGAATCTTCGCGAAGTACGAAAAGATGCAGAATCGAAATCGACCGTTCAGACTCGAATATCGACTGTCGTTCGCTTTCATGCGAATTCGGATTCCCGTTTCAATGGAGGAATTACTGCGGTTACAGATTTTCTCTGATGTAATTAGAATTGCGATTCTGGAATGATCGTCTGTTAAACGGACGTCGAACTTTCGTACCATCGTTTGACGATCGCACGTCAAATATTTTATATGTCCTTGCGATATTTATGCATCTCGTTTCACGCGAACAGATTGCTTTCTTTTTTATCCCTTTGAAGGAAAATCTTGAATGATCTCTTACCTTCTCGAGGGACAAATCGCCACCCTCGATCGCTCGGAAAGGGTACAGAGCCACCACGACTTTTGTTCTCATCATTATCTTGTCCTGGAACACGTGTCAATTGCTTCGTTTGAATTATTTATTTACGGTAGAAGTTAATTGTGTGGAAAAATATGTTACCTTGGTTTTAGAAGATGGGGTCCCAGGTGTGCCCCCTGGCATTATTGGAGTCGAGGGAGTCCCTGTAACACAAAAGTTACAATCTTCCGTCAATCATCGTTTCATTCAAAAGCAAAAGTTTCAAGTTACATTTTATAATTATAATTACAAGTTAAACAAAACTTTTTCCTGCACTATCCCCCATAAATAGATGTTCTATTGGATATATTTTTATCACACTGAATATATATTTCGTTAAAATTAACTTTTCATCATTGGACATACGTTAAATTAATTAATTATTTAATTCATTGAATTAATTTTTCATTATGTCGGACATTAAATTTTTCATTGTACTGGATATACGTTATTAAATTGATAAAAAAATGATGAAAACGTTATGCTTTGTCGTTTTAGAAATTTAAATATATTTTCGTATTTCCTGCACACGCGACTTGGAAAAGAATAATAATTTCCACCGTTCGTGAAAGAGTTAATTTTAATTACATGTATATTATAAACAGAAGAAAATGTGAAGGAACACTCGTAAGACTTTTTTTTTCATCTGGAACTAGTTCTCATTTTTCATAGAGGCTTTCATAGCATTAGTCCGAGTTTTCCACAGGAACGAAGTTGCCTCGTTTCTTCGCCGGGATAATTATTGAATGTAGCATGGAGAGAAGGACTTTGGAGAAGAGATCTCATAACTTATCTCTAATGAGCTTACGTCGCTTGTGATGTTTTAATGAATACTAATGAACTCTAAAAATTTTTCCTCCCTCTCCTTCCCCGAAGGAAAAGTCGCTAGGGAAACGAAGCGAGTTTTTTTAACCGAGAATAATTGGTCTCATTCTCATAGGAACTCTCATAGGCTCTATGAAATGAAAAGAAAAGGGACAATCTCCGTTTCTCAAATTTATAATTATCCCTTTAACAAACAGCGATGTCCGCGATGTATATTCATCATTTTTCATCGTCCTAATTAACCAGGAATTACGAAATTGAAGAACATTCTTAACGAAATGTTAACTAGCAAAATTACCGATGCTGCCTAAGTCGTAAATTCGAGTTGGCGAATTTCATTATTGAGATAATTAACCATCTTTCGTTTCCTATCGCTGTCTTGGTCGCCGCGATAATTTAACATTGATTAAAAATTGTCCCATTCTTGTCAAGGGACAACAATATTAACGAACGTTGACAAATGATTGTTTAACCATTTCTACAAAAATATTACAACTACCTAATCACCTACGTAAAAACACTTCCGACATCACTTTGACGAAATAGGGGAATCCGATTAATTGGTTAAATAAGAATCAATCCGTCGCGGCTCGTTGGCTCGTTTCATCCGTTCCCTTGAAATTTGCAACCGGTTCGTTGAAAACAAAGCAGACAAGTTATTCCGTTTGCAACGAGATCTCCGCTCCGTCGCGAGCTCTAATAACGCGCGAGATCATCCGGCATCCGACACGATAATAGACGACAATATATCTGCCCGTTTTTTTTCACGTATGTAGATGTACGCTCTACATCGTCGCGATATTCGTCCCGTACGGTCTGAAAAATAAAAGCGAAGAGTCGTAACGAGTCGCAGAAAAAAGAGGCAGTAAAAAAGAAAAAAAAAAAAAATGAGAGAAGATATGAAAGAAGAGAGGGAGAGAGAGAGAGAGAAAAAAATCATAGGAGGATAAATATTTTCGTTTTGTTGCGAAACGAGCGATTTACCTCGATGTCAGCGACATCGCGACGGATCTCGCTAATATTTCACGAGCAGCTTGTCGAGGATTTCGATTCTCACATACCGAGCGATCCTCCACTTTTCCCCCCACCAGCCCATCGTATTGTTTTTTTCACTTCTTGCCAAATACGTCGTGACAATGGAGATCCAGTTTTGTTCTACGAATATTTTTTCTCTCTTCTCTTTTTGCTTCTGTACTCTTTTTATTTTTTTTTGTTTTCTTTTTTGCTCCTAAGCGAACTGAGCTTCAAACGCGGCCTTTATTGGAGAATATGGGTCCGGAATTGTTCACTTTGCCTGGGAACGAGATGGATGAATGAATATTTGCAAAATTAAGCGGACCAAGCTGTTTCATCGAGGAAATTCAATCTCCCGCGTCGTCTCGTCGATTTTAATTTACTTTTAATATCTCTTCGCCGATTTACGTTTCACGTTTCTTTTTTTTTTTTTTCTTTCGTTTGTTTTCGCGAAGAACGTTCTATCTAATCAATCTAAATCCAACTTTCTTTTTGAACCTATAATCTTCGTGGTTCAGCATGTAGAGCTCGCTCTTTCATGTTATGCTGTTGGAGACTAGGGGAGAAATAGTAAATATGAAATAGCAAATAGAATGTAAATATTATTTTCTCATGTGTATAGTTACGTATGGAAATAGTATTGTTAAATAAGTATTTTATTAAAATATAGGAAAATAATATTTCGTCAAATAATAATATTTCACAGAATAGTATTTAGAATAATGATATTGCAACTAATAGTATAAATATATATATACGTATACACGTATTTCGTTTATATTTTATATATACAGTATATTGGTGTTCTTCAGAAGAGAAATAGTCGAGTTATTACGAAGCATTTCAAAAAGTCCTTCAACAGCAGCTGCATTCATTCGAACGTAGCTAATATTACAAAGGCTAACAATTAAAACTTTTGGGATTCAAAATTTGTTTTATCAATCAATTTGCCTTTCTGACAAATTCCATTGTTCAAAAAATTACTTTCGCAGTTCTTCGTAATTTTATTCCCACTTTCTCAGAGGCGATGAACCTTAATAACGTTATTCAAAATATGAAATGCATCATGTCATTAGTCCAACTAGTCGAATTGTTAAGTTTAAAGCTTGCGTGTCACACATTCCGCGAGATCGAGTACAGAGATCGAAGATGCTTCCTCGAAACGAGTAATTTGCATCGATACCTGGGCTTTCTCTAGAAATGATATTTTCACCCGTTGTTCGATACAACGATTCTCTGTTACGGTCTCAATTAGCGTGACGCGTAACGAGGTGTAGCTTGTTAGTTGGCCGATCCGTTGATAAAATACACGTTACGATCCCGTGATTCCCGCACAACCAACTGGACTTCTCTCGTTTTAATTACTCTCTCCTCTTAAAGCGTTTGAACCTCTCTCGATCAACCGGATTCAAGTTGTCTGGACGATAATCAGCAGCGTCGCATTAATCGGCACGGATTTTGCTTTGTTGGCTGATTGCCGCGATTCCTGCTAGTTCTCGATACGAATTTTATAAAGTGGGCTTTGCACGAAGTTTGTACAATTGATTATTACTGCTATTATCAGCGAAAATTATTATTATTATTATTATTTGCAAATTAGTAATGATCAATTCTTTTATTTCATAGTAACACGTGTACAATTGACTGCTACTATTATTATCAGCGAAATTTCTTTACAAATTAGCAACAGCGTTGAACAACCTGTTACAAGTTACCAACGTTAGCAATGTACATTCCTCCCGTCGTACGACAGTAACAAACTTGGTTTTATGAATTATAGAACTTTACAAAAGAATATAAATTACATTCGTATTGAAATAATAAAACTGTCACTTGTTAATTCGATCGTGCCTAGGAGGCCCTAGATTTACGTATCTGTATGTGAAATAAAAATTTATATCTCACTCGATGGGAAAAAGATAAAATCCAAAAGCTAGTAACGCGTTTAGCAAAGCACTACCGCATCACGAAAATTTGTTTCATCGTTCCGGTCATCAACCTTTGCTTCGAAACGTACCACGACGCCAGAAACTGCAGCGAATCCATGATCCAGCCAAAGACAGCCATCGAGCCTCTCCTACGCCTCCTTCCACGCCACTTTTCCGAAGATGCTATCGTCGAACGCTCGGGTGAAAGTGCCGAGAACCGCACCGACTGAACGCCTGAACGCCTGAACGCGGTGGTTTTACGCACGGGCTTTCACTTCACCGGCTACCGTTGAATTTCGCGTGTTTTTCGCGCGCAGTTCCCTCCTCCGAGATGACAAAAATCGAGAAAAAATCGGGAGGGAAGATACTTCACCGAGGGCAGAGGAGCATCGAGAAACATGGATTTTTGACACTCGCGAAATATTTTCGAACAGCGAAAATGAAGGGATAATAAATCGAGATCGGCAGGGTAAAGAAAGAAGAGAAGGTACGGTCGTACGGAGGAGGGAACAAAGAAATTTTGGATTTCACGGAGGATGGTGCGACGACGTGCGGTTAGGACGATGACTCGCGAGAGAAACGCGGTTGCAAGCAAGAGTGCAGGTGCGTGCACCGGCCGCACTGGATGCCGGAATATCAACGGTGAGCGAAGGACGATACCACAGCTAGTCTCCACCCTGTCTAGACAAAATCAATGCGACCTCAACCTCCTGCATCCCCTCCAGCATCCCTTAGACCGTTCAACGTCCCCACGTGCGTGCCTGCCTGCCTGCCTGCCTGCCTCTGCCTGCCTCTGCCTGCCTCTGCCTGGCCTCTGCGTCCCTCTCTCTTTCGAACTTCCTCTTCATGTCGAGTTTCATTACCGGAAGCAGTCTGCCGCTGCTCCACTCTCTATGGAGTGTGTGCTAAGTTCACCGACCATGGATACAAGTTGCTACTTCTTCTTTCTCTTCTTCTTCTTCTTCTTCTTCTTCTCCTTCTACTTTGGGGATTTCCTTTGTTTCCCCTCCCCTCCCCCTTTTTTCGTCTCTTTGTTCTCTCTTTGTTCTTTCGTTTCTTTTTTCTTTTTCTGACGGGGCGGGAGGAAGGAGGAGGGAGACGATGCTTTCTCATTCGAGCGGGATGATGGCTCTCGCACTCTTGCACGCGGCGCCGGTGTCGATTTTTGTTCGTTGCACGCGGAGGGTGAACGGAACTGGAGGGGAATGCAATTTCAGATCATTATGTTAAAAACGTCGACGATTTTTGCGACGGGGCGGGAAATGTTTATTAACCGCCATTTTTGCCGGGGCGAATTTTTACGCGGCCGGGTTTCGTTTCGGCCGTGTGTTTGGAAAACCGATAATGCGTGTAAAAATGTCCGTGTCACGGAGGGATGGCGCGAGGAGGCGCTCTCG